CAGTACAGTACAGAGAATATTGAGTTAGATGGGGAAACAGGTTTTTTTGTTTGTTTAAAATAGCAGTAGGAAACCCCTTATAGTCCATTTTGCCTGTCCCTCCAGGGGAAGGGAATTCCAAGACTGGTGAGCCACACCAGAGGAAGACCCCCTACCATACTGCCACTCAGTGGGCTAAATCCACTTGGGGCACAACAGAAAGAGACACTGCCAATTGCATTACCTGGGACTGTTTATATGGGAGAAGGCACTTTGACAGATAGGCAGGTCTTATCTGGGTCCAATGAGCAAGATCCTCTCTCAGTTTTTGCTGCATACCAAGTGTGTAGAAATCAATACTTTATCTTTGGTAGCCCCATTTGCACCCAAACACCTGTGCAGGTAAGCTGTGACTTAGCAAGGTATATCAGGAGCCAACAAACACCTTCAAATTCAATAGGACTAAGCATGTTTACTTAAAAGCAATCCCAACCAGGGTCAGCCCTACTGTAGGGCAGAGGGAGGCCATTACTTCAGGTAGCAGGTTCCAGGGGTGGCAGCAGCCCTCTGGCTATTCTTTCTGATCCCTCTGTTGGAGATGATGAACTATGGCTCACCTAGCCTGCTGCCCTTTAGGGGTACTGGAGGATGCAATCCTGTTGCCAGTGTTGAATTTGGATTCAGCTACTAGTCTAGCCAGCTTCTGTTGTGGGTGCCACCTTGTCCTTTGCCTCAGGCAGCAAAATGTCTCCCACTGTGCTCAATGGAACTTATTTCTAAGTAAGCATGCATAGGACTGCAGCTTTACTTTATTTGAAGAATGAAACTATAAGCCATATCATGAGAACAATAGCTGTTAAAGTGTGTTGTGCTTCCAGGCAGTATTATATAGAAGTTGTGAAGCTCTGTTCCCAGTTTTGAAAACTGATGAACTCTGAATGTGCTACAGTCACAAATTACTCAAGAATCCTCTAGCTATTGGGAACAATGTGTACACTTCTCAAGCACATACATCCATTGTATTTGCTGGTTCTCAATCTTGGCTGAAAATTATTATCCATTTTGTCAAAGGCGGAGTTCTATGTAAGTCAAAGACTTGCATAATCTTACACTAAATTGATTTGCTTAAGAGATCATTTTAGCTATTTTCTATGAAGCGTATTTGGAAATAGTTGTACTGCTTTATGACAGGTGTGCAGATGCTAGCCATCCTATTGGAAAAAAAAGTTCTGTACAAACAGAAAACTGCAGGAAGCCTTGAGCAAACTAGCAAACCCAATTTCAGTTTCTTATTGAAATTCCGTTTCCCCACAACTCACTGAAACAGGTAAATATTACGGTGGATAAACTGCTTAAAAATGTTAATCAAATAACTGCAGTGAATAACCAGATCTCTAGTCAGGAAACCCCCAAGTATGAAGTGCACTAAAGCAATCCTTCTTTCCTTCTTTATCTTGTCTTCGTTGATGGTTACAAAGAATGATATGACATGAGCTGAAACTTATTGGTAAACTTCTAAAAATGGGTAGGACCCAGACTTCACCTTCCATGGATGGGAAAGAAGGATCCCACTGCCAGAGAGAGAGAGAGAGAGAGAGAGAGAGAGAGAGAGAATGGATACAAAGGGAGGAACAATCATCTCTTCCTCCATCTCTTCCTCCTTTGAGTGGAACTCGGGTAAAGGATGCTCCAGCTGGTGGAAGGGAAATCTAGATCCAACCCAGTTGGAGGAATTCAGCTTGGCACTATGTCCAAAGGTTACCATTTCAGCTTGCAAGATGGAATGATCCCCTTTTCTCCCCCCCCCCCCGTTCTGGGGGTTCTCCTGACCGTCTCAAGCCAATTTGGGAGCATGGGGGCACATGTGGGTGGAGATGGGGAGTGGGAAATGTCCTTGCATGAGCTTCTGCTAGTGAGATTCATTAGCTGAATCCGGTCCAATGTTTCTGTAGTGAACTGAACCTCCATTTCTTTTCCATTTTCTTCCCCTCAGGCTTAAATTCAGGAAACTTTTGATCAACAGGCAAATTACACTTGATTTAAGATTATTTTTCCTGAATACAGTGGTACCTTGGTTTTCAAACTTAATCCATTCCAGAAGTCTGTTCCAAAACCAGTGTTCCAAAACCAAGGCATGCTTTCCCGTAGAAAGTAATGCATAATGGATTAATGCATTCCAGACTTTTTGAAAATAATCCCTAAAACACCAGTTTAACATGAATTTTACTATCTAACGAGACCATTAATCCATAAAATGAAAGCAATAATCAATGTACTGTACTATAAAACAAGTAAAACAGTATTGTAGATGATAAAAACTAAAATTAAAGAAATTTCTTACCTGCACTGATGATAGTCATTGTTTGGATGGGGGCTTTTATCCATTTCCGCAGTCACACAATCAATCAATCAATCAAATTAACTGAAAAAGCCTCAAAACCAAAAACGCAAAAGAAATAGCAAAAACAAAAGCACCAAATATAAGCTCCAAATATTAGCTCAGAACACTGCAATCAGAAACAGAAGGCTTGAATTATAATGGGGGGGGGTGCAAATTAGCAGTGCAACAGGAAACACAGGGGGACTCAAAATGGAGCAAGTTTGGCTTCCGGGGGAAAAAATAAAAAACCGGAACACCTACTTCTGGTTTTGCAGCGTTTGGGTTCCAAGTTGTTCGTGAACTAAGCTGTTCAAAAACCGAGGTACCACTGTAAACCCTTTTTATGCAGGGAGGGAATTCCAGGGCAAGGCTATTCAAACCAACACCCTCCCCACTTCTACTGTTCCTCCTTTCATCTGACTGCTAGCTCTTCCAGGGAAATTCTGACTACCCTTCCCCCTGTCATCTCAAGTATTGTATGAGATAATGAGCATGCTAGTGAGGATAGCAGTGTCTACCAGAGGCCAAAGAGAAAAGCCACAGGTATCCAAAGTGTACCGCTTTAACCTCTCCCACTTTGTGTCTTATCTGGGTCAGAAACCAAAGTGCTAACCCACAATTTCCCATTAATTCCTGCTACGAATTCCAGTAATACCATGGATGAATAGGGCTTCTATTTTGGCGGAAATACATTTTGCTTACACAGGGCCCTTCTGTGAGCTCCTAACTCTATGATCTTTCCCTTTGATTTGATATCTGTGTATCCACAGCACGGCAGAAGAATGCACATTACTTTCTCAGTTTATCAAGGACTGCTGTAACTAAGAGTATTTTCATATTACACCAAAAAGTGCCTTTTGACTTTTTCATGGTTTTTATCCCATCTGCGATTGTTGTTATTGAGGTGGAATCTAGACACATATTTTTTAAAAGTTGTGAAAATGCTTTTTTAAAAAAATGTTTTGAAAAATATATTGACTATGCCATAGCTCATCATCCCCATCTAGTGTCACATTTGTATAATGCACGTTAAAACATTTTATTTGCAGCTGTATAGCTGAGTCCTAGGTGAGAATGTTTGGAAGAGATATTTAATTATAAGGCAGCCAGTTTAGACTACACAACACTTTACTGTTATAAACCAAATTTAAACCTGTTGATAATAATCAGAGAAACTTGAGTTATACCGTCATAGTTTAGGGCTCATCCACATGGGAGTTTAACATGAATTTGAAGCCATAAGTGCCTTAAATATTTGTACTTTGTCCACTTGATTCTCTCCCCATTCAGTGGGCAGCCTGCAGTTTCTCAACAGTAAACTTGGATTTTTTAAATTCTGGAAAACATCCACATAGGGGGACTAAATACAATATAAAATTCCTTGTTACCCGACTGTGGATGCACTATGTGGACAGGTTCTCTGGCAACATCTCCTACCTAGCCCTTCAGACTGTATTTTAAAATGTTGGTTCTTATTTTACATTGTTTAGAGGGAGTTGTTTCATTGTGAAACACCTAGAATTCCTTTTTTAATTAGATGGTACAACTGCTACTAAATAAATAAACAAGTTGTAATTTGTTTTGTGAATTAAACTCGTAAAATTATTTGTTGATTATAAAAGGTTATCTGATCTTTCTCAGAGTCTTTGAAATTCATTGCAACTATTTATTCTTTACAATTGATTTGACTCTGAGCTTCACTTGCAATGTGTTTCTTCAAGGAAGGACTCAAAGAAGGAAATAAAAACAGGTTAATGTATCTTTAATTACTGTGATAGAGGCCCATATTATGAAACTCCCAAGATGAGACTGCCAAGATATTGCCTCTGACCATGGCAGAAAAGTGCCCCAGAGAACTTCCCAAGAATAGGGTCAATTTGCCCTCCTACATCTTAACCTCTGGGATTGGAGGAAATGGTTGACCCAAGCCAACAAGAGTTGCCACTGAGCTGCAGAAACAGAAATCAGAAAGTTACAGGACAACAAGGAGCATTAAAGTAGCAGAGGAACATGCATGAAAAAGAAACATGCATCAGATTTGTACCTGAATCTTGAACAAATACTTTTCCCCTGTATCCAGTAGAACTTACCCCCTGAGTGGGAGGACACTTTTGGCACATGCTGCCTATACAATGTACTGATCCCCAAGAGACCAGGTCTCTAAGATTCCTCGAAAGAGACCCTTCATTTGCTACCCAACTCCCTCAGAAAACATTAAATTGATCCCACTCAGTCCACACAAGGACTTTGTTTTTCCATGTCATGGATCTTATGAGGAAGGGCTATAGCTCAGTTTTAAAGGTAAAGGCAAAGGGACCCCTGGTCCAGTCGTGGGCGACTCTGGGGTTGCGGCGCTCATCTCGCTATATTGGCTGGGGATTCGAACCGCCGACCTTCTGATCAGCAAGTCCTAGGCTCTGTGGTTTAACCCATAGTGCCACCCGCGTACCAGCTCAGTTTTAGGCTTTTTCTAAATTCTCGTTTGGCTTTTATTCTTATCAGTCTCATTTACAGGGATGGTTTTCTTTAATAATGCCACCAGCAGCTAGGTTATATGGAAAGGGCAGTTTCTTAGAAGCAGAAGACAAGTTTTGTGTGAAAAGGGACTCTAGTTCAATCCCTGATATCTCACTTTACATACCCTCCAAGTATCCCGATTTTCCAGGGACAGTCTTGTTATTACAAAAAGCCATCCCGGTTTCTGATTGGATCCTGGAATGTCCCTATTTCCCCTGCCCGTACCACTGCCTAGCTCGGGGAGGAGGATGAGCCGGCGCTTGTCCTGAGCGACGACGATGGCGGCAGCTGCGACTGCAAAGGAGCATCCTTTTGCCTCTCCACTGCCACTGGCCTCCTCCCTTATCAGTGTGCGTCTTTCTTTTTGCAAATCTACCAAAGAATAAAATAAAATCAGGATTAACGGGTTTTCTCAGGACATTGGAGGATGTGCACGTTGTGTCCTGTTGCCTTAGTGGTGGTGGCACTCGACCCTTTTCTGAGAGGAAATGCTCTCTCTGGGGCAGGCGACACAAAAAATGTCAGGTCAAGGAGGATCAGTTTGAGGGGATGGGGGCAGAGTGGGAAGTGTCCCTATATTCATCTGAGGAATGTTGGAGCATATTCAGTTAGAGATGGAAAAGACGGCTAATGCCAGTCAGCGGAGCCAGTTCTGAGGCAATGTGATAAGGCAGCTTCCTGGGATACAAAGGGCAGCTTCCAGACAAAAAACATTTTCAAGCATCTTGTTCGGTTTTCAGATCAGATTACCAACGAAGAGTGCAAAATAAATTATAAAGCTGCTGCCAAGCTGGATGATAATGAAGTCATTGCAACTGCTAAAATGTCATTATTTGAAATCACATGTTGCAGACATCTCAAGTGGATAGGGAACTGCCTTTCTGGGCCTAGTCGTTCCATCTGGGCCCTGTCACTCTAAGAACCACAGCCTGCCCAATCAAGGCCTTGTCTTATGTTTTTACCCAAACACTAAATGAGCTCCATTACGAGGGTGGGTAATGGCTTCTGGGAAGCAGCGTTTGCTCTGGGGTCAGCTGCCCCAGGGACAGAGAGAGACACAAAGCAGCCTGGTGAATAAAACTCATCCATTCCTCCCTACCTCCCACCCACCCAGCCACCCCCACTCCCCCTCTGTAACCTCTAAAAAGAAGCTGCTTTGGAGTCTCCTCTCATTTGCATGGGGAGATTTAATTTCCATCCCTTAAATATGACGAATTGCTGAGATTTCCTTCAGTTAATGCTTTTAACAGCTCCCAATAAACTTCATTAATCAGTCCAGCTCTAGGCCCAACGTGCAGCCTGGAAGCAGCTAATTTGCCTGATGAGCCTGAGACTTTAGTGAATAAACAGGTGGATAAGCTGAGGGTTTTATGGCCTTAATTACACTCTAATCAGTTCAACGCTTGGCGGGCAAAAAGGAAAGAGGGAAGAAGGAGGCAGCATGATCAGCCATCCCTTCATTATTATTATTTTTTCAACTGGTGCCTCATTTCTTCCACCATCCTCATCTTCTCCCGATTTTCTGATAGAAAAGGCAGGAAAAGGGGAGTGAAGTGAAACAGGGACATGTGTTTCTAAGGTTTTAGGATAACTGACAAGATGTCTTTAAGCCGCCCTTCTACAATCTCTTAGTAACACAACCTCTGTTGCCTTTTCCTCTGCATTTCTTTCACATTTCCTCTTTCTTTTCTTATTCGTTCCTCAGTCTGTGCAAATTTACAAGAGGTCTTTGGGCTTCCTGGTTATATAGATCCATGTCATAGGACAGGGAATTATGTGGCCCTCCAGACGCTGTTGGACTACATTTCCTATCAGCTGCAGCCAGCAAGGCCAGCCGTTAGGGATGATGGGAATTGTAGTCGAACAGCATATGCAGCGCTGTGGATTCCACATCACTGCCACAGGACAACAAGGCATTTATTTTAGAATAGGAGAGGATCTGCATAACAGATTTCACAGCTGCGTTTGATGCCTTGAAGTTTGGAAATGGTTTTCCCTACTCATTGCCCCAGTTTTGTGTGGCTCTACCATTCGGCAGACTGAGGTGTCCACCTCAGGCAGCCAATTTTGGGCAGTCATAAAAGGGCAGCAAATTGTTGTTGTTGTTGTTTATATTTTGAATTCCATGGTGCGGCACTTGTGGGAGTTTATGTCTCAGGTGGCAAATAACTTGGCCAGTCTTGGATATTATACACCCTAAATTGGGTAGAGAGCTACAACCTGCTATTCAACCTCAGGCATCAAAACGTTTTGGCCCAGCACTGATGCAGCTAAATTTAGACACTGCTTTCTCAATCCAGCAATGTTCCCAACTCTAATATTATCTGGAAGCTTTGTACTCAAGGGTGATGTGCAACCCCAAAATCCATGGGCTAGTTTCAGTTAAACAATGGTCAGGAAAAGGAATATGGGAATTACTGTAGAGCAGTGGTTAAGAGTGTTAAACAAGGACCAGGGAGACCTGGGTTCAAATCCCCCCTCAGACATAAAGTAGCTAGAGGAAAAGGGGACAGAGTGTGAAGCAAGAGCTATGAGTGGAGGGGGCCCCTCTTCCCATCCTTTGGACCCCTTGGGAAACTCAACAAACCTGTTGCACCTGGAACTGGCTGTGGCGAATGCAGGTGAATGAGACCCAGCTGTGGGCAACCTGAAGAAGTACCATCCACCTTGGGTCTGCCCATAAAAATCAAGTGAGAGTGAGAGACCAAGGGTGGATCTACACACAGGAAAAGAAACACTATAAATAAGTCAGAAATTAAATCATTTATAACAAAAGAAAAGAAAATCCTATGTAAAAATCGCATAGAAAATTTGTTTGCTCTCTGGCGCCATCTGGTGTTGCATGTCTATAACACATTCAAAGTGTTGTTTCCAGGAGACTTTTGTGGGTGAGCTGAGAGTTTGTTTGTAACCTGGAGGCTGAGTGTCAGAAGGAAAATGAATTGAGATAGACAGATAGATAGACAGATTAGTAACTTTGTATTAATGTAACATGTTTATACACAAACGTGTATTTTTGTAATATTTTGTTTAAGTTGTCTGTTGTTGCTTCAGTTTTTTGTATACTGCTTAGAGATACAGTGGTACCTCGGGTTACATACGTTTCAGGTTACATACGCTTCAGGCTACAGACTCTGCTAACCCAGAAATAGTACCTCGGGTTAAGAACTTTGCTTCAGGATGAGAACAGAAATCATGTTCCGGCGGCGCGGCGGCAGCAGGAGGCCCCATTAGCTAAAGTGGTGCTTCAGGTTAAGAACAGTTTCAGGTTAAGAACAGACCTCCGGAACGAATTAAGTACTTAACCCGAGGTACCACTGTATTTTTAATATATTTCAGTGGTATAGAAATTAAATAATGAATCACTGGATGACCTTGGGCAAATCCCTATCTCTCAGCCTAACCTACCTCACAAGGTTGTTGTGAGGTGGAAATAGGGACGTGGGAAAATAATTTTGTAAGCTGCCTTGAACTCCTTGGACCAAATGCAAGATATAACTTTAGTAAATAAACATAGTCTCAAAGACACTCTCCTACACACTGAGTTTTAACACGTTCCAGAGCTCAATCCTGCCTAGTGCATATTTACCTCATATTAAGTCCTGGACACCAAGTCTGCACATTGGGATGCCATATTCCTGAGGGTGCTTATATTCATGGCACCAAATGTATTTTTTAAAAAATAAATATTTTATTAAGACTTTTCATAATATATTACAGTAAAAAATAAAATAAACACAAACAAAGAATTGAGGGAGAGAGAGCAACAAATGTACACCAAATGTACTTCTGACTTCCCCTTATACTACTGTAATTACTAGCCATCACAGAGAGACTGATGAAGGAAGCGGGGTATACAAGCCCCTCAAATAAATAATAACAGAAGAACAACTAAAATGTTGTCAATGCAGGCTGGTAACAGGACACTCCCCCCCCCCCAAATGAGTATGCATTCACTGTAGCTGCCATTGACACGGGAAATGCAACTCCCCTTTTTAAGAGCATATGCTGGGAGAGCTGTTTGATTCAGGTAGGCTTGCTGAATCGGCAGAATGTCAGGGGGAACCTGGATGCATGGCAACGTGATGGAAAAAGCAGTGGAAACAGCTCAAAAACCATTTGTGGGCTAGGTTTCCCTAACAGAGCTCAACAATTTGGGTTTGCTACCCCAGGAAAAAAAAACCTCAAGAACTTGGCGGGCGACAGGAATTTCCCTTTTTGAAATATGGCAACTCTAGTCTGAGGGCCTTGTGCTTGCTGCGCACTGTCTGCCACTTCCAGGAACCAGGAGTGACGTTTCCAAACAAGGGCCATCATCCCTCAAGATAAAAGGGCTCGGCTGCTGTGCTTCCGCAATAATGCACCGCACCCTTTGCCACCCTCCTCTTTTCCCGGTTGCCTGGCCTCCCTCCTTCCCTCCACGAGTGCCCTTCACCTTTCCCTTTGCCCCGCTTTGGCGACCTTCTCTGCCCCTGGCTTCCAGGTCCCGCTTCCCTCCCACCACATCGCCTCCCTGTCACGGCTAGGCCGCTTGACAAATCACTTCAAGGGCAGCCTAACTTCGAAGGACAAGACAAAGCTTTAGCATATGGTCCAATCCCCAGATGTTTGTCTTTCGCTCGCGCTCCCGGTCTCCCTCCTCCCCGCTCCTCTCCCTCATAAGAAGGGGCTACTTGGGAAGCTCAGCCTTCCTTCCTTTTTCCTTTCTCCCCTCAGGTTTTTGTCGGGGGGTCGCTAACTAGCAGCTTGAGCGGCTGGTCTCTTTATAGCCCGAGAAGCGAGGGAGGAAAGAGACTGGGGAAGCAAGGAGGAGGAGAAGAAGAAGGGGAGCTTTTGTGGAATGTAATGATATTTTTTACAGCCCTGGCTGAGGGGAAGTCTCGGAGCTGTTAATGCAGGTGCCACGGGGGCACTCCTCACCGCACACTGCTAGGCCGCGGATGGCGGGAAAGACGAGTGTCGCCTCTCTGATAGGAATTTTGAGACCTCCGCTCTCTTTTGGCATTGGCAATAACACCCATGGTCGGGGCTTTAAGCCACGAGGCAAAGTTCAGTGCTAGGAAAGGCAGCCAGGCTGTGTGTGTGTGTTAAGTAGAGGAGTTATTTTCCTGAGCTTAGAAAGACAAGCCTGCTGGGCGTCCTTCCTTTGCTTTCAGCTGCAGACCGAGGTCCG